ATCTTCATGATCATCTGACCATCAAAATCATGCAGACATGGCTTTCAGATGCAGAGTGTAATGAACTAGAGGATAAGGCTCCAGAGCCTGGAGACCTCTGAATGACGTTTTTTGTAAGCCTTGCTGAGCATATGAGAATTTACCGAGGGCATTTTCCAGTTGTTGTACTTTGTCCTTGTTTTATAAATAGCTACAGAAAGAAGAGAGAGAGAAATAGCTCACCTTGTCTCCAGAAATTAAGTTCTTGACTTGTATGCTTACAGATATGTCTGTGTAGGCTATACTTTTCCAGGAAAACTTAAAGTTAGCCCTTAGAACAATAACTTGAAGTTTTGTGAGTATTGAGGAAGTACATTGTTAAAGTCTGTTCCTTTCTAGAGATCTTAATGTCAGTCTGGGTTTCAGCAGCAGAATCTGGGGAATCCCTATTTACTGAGGCTGAAACTTCATCTCACTGTTTTGTTTTTACAGCAGTACAATACTGTTTCCTACTGTTCTCCTCCCATGAATGTGGTAACACAGTCTAGAAGGAGAAAATCTGCTTGGTTTTATATCTCTTCTGAGTCATAAGGTTTTTTTTACTTTGCCCCATAACAACTTTATTTCTGGCGGTTCATGCTTGTTACACGTGATTGCAATTTTGCCCTCATTCTTATCATTCTTTTTGAGTACCTGGAACAACAGGATTACATATAAGCTTTTCATGAATCACCTGCTCATGAGATGGGAACAAATCCATCATGTACCCTTTTCAGGAATCTAATAACCTGCTAAGGGTGCTTTTGGGTAAACTCTGTCTCAACGATGCTTCATGTCTTGCTTGAGTTAGCTCTTCCTGGTTCACCTGGCCTGTTTTGTTTGTACCATGTGCTGCTCTCTGAGGCTGCATTTGAGAAACTCAAGCTTATTTGTAGCTTTCTTACCTTCTATTTGCACTTCAGTAAAGAGTTTCTTTGTTCCCAAGGCTAGAAAGGCTTGGATTCAAACTAGAGCTCTTGATTGTGGGCAGTATAAATGCAATTTCCAGAAATGTTTTCAGAATTTAGTTTTAGCTGTCACTTCACCTGAAAGTGTGTATTACAACGTGTAAAGTACACAAAACAGTAATTAAATATTTACAGATTACAGGAGTATCAGAATCTTGCTGCAGGTTTTTTTTTTCATTGTTCCATTGTGTTCCTCACTTCTATTGCCTCTTTGTATTTATTGATTTATTCCCAGAATTTTCTACCTGCTATACATTACATTCTGTAAGTCATTCCATCTTCTTCCACGTGGCCTGTGAGTTTACTGGTTCTTGTCCATGCCTTCAGAGTCCATTCTTTGCTTAAGCTGCTGAACTGATGCTTTTGTTATAGAATGTCTGTTTTGCTCTGCTCCATCTCAGATTATGTTTTGGGCAAGGCCCTTTAAGCTGATTCTTTAAATGCTACAGTAAAGGCATCCTGGATAAAATAATAAAGAGACTATTATGTTCTTTTCCTGGTAGAAAACACTAGATGTTTTCTTATGATGGCACATGGAAATCATCCACTCTGAATGTTATTAGAAAAGTAAGCAAGGCCTTCTGCTTTTTTAAGAAAGAATAACTAAAATCCTCCTGGCTATAAATAATTACTTGTAGCAGCATGTTACGAATAGATGCTAATAAGTAGAGTTCCTAAATTATCAGTTGAGGGAGTCCAATTTCCTTGTTGCAGATTTCTTTTTATTAGCACTAATGAGACTTGTTTTAAGGGCATAATAGACCTGTGAAAGAAGCTGTGCAGTGCCCAGCAAATTTCTGTTCAACATCATAACAACTCAAATTCTTACTGTATATTTGCATCAGCACTACTAACATCTGTTGTGGTTTCTTTTGGTAGTATTGGTATTTCTGATGTCTTTAGGTCCTTGTCTTTTTTATAGTACAATTTTTCTTACAAGTCATACTAGGAATATGTTTAAGTACTGCCTGTTGAAATTAGGTAGCCCAGTATCTATGGTGCTAAATGGAACAGTTTTGTCTAACATTGTAACATTTATTTGCTATGAAGACTTTAACATTTTTAATTTCTTGTCTCCTGAGTTATTAAAATAATAGTTAATCACAAAATATACCCATAAATTGTGAAGTAGTAATTTTGAGTCAGTCAAGGAGGCTTTGTAAGCCGGTTTATTTGAATTTATATTTTCTGTGTCTGGATGAAAGTTCTTTAATTTGCTGAAGCTACTTCTGCAAGATCGAGTGTTTGTTCAAGAAAATGGAGTACCTTCCTATCTTATGCTATTCTGCATCTTTCCTCAGGAACTTCAGGTGTTTCTTATTTGTGACGACAGCTAAAGATTCCCCAGTCCTTTTCTGTATTGATTGGTGAATCTGTTCACCTCATCACATAGGGGTGTTGAGGAAAACAAGGTGTAATAGCTGAACCACAGCATTTTCTATTGTAAAAGTCTTGTCTTTCCTAAATAGGGAGACCTCAGCAAAGTGAAGAATTTGTTTCTTTAGTAGTTCTAAAACAATTGTTCCTTATGCTCGATTTCCCTAAACCCCTGAGATTTGGAAGTAAGTTTGTGTTTGAGTGGTAGTACTTGACTTTTCAAAATAAAGGCTATCTCTTGAAGAGGAGGGAAGAAAGAGCCAAAGTTTCTGAATTAAGTTTTGCATTAAAAAAACCCAAGCAAAACCAAACATAAAAACTAAACTGAACAAAGCCCCAAAATTCATAATAAAAAAACCCAGCACCCCAACTGTCCAAGGTTCTAAGGAATGATGATGCCTGTACAGAAGTTGTTTGTTGTTGACATGTGTTTTTAGGAAAAAAACCACTTTTTTTTAACTATTAAGGTTCAATATCAGGTCTGAAATACAGCAGATCACTGCATTTGCCTGTAGTTTTGTTCTGGGCCTCACTTAGGGCTTGAGGGAGAAGCTATATTGGAGTATGCCTTGATGGACATCAGTAAATAAGAAATTCAACTTGTTGTCATTGAATACTTAGTATTCCAATTCTGATTAATAGGTTTCATTTTTTAAATTACAATTAAGAATTAAAAAAAAAACAAACAAACAACAAACAAACCAAACATGAATTCAGTTTTCATTAGGGTTTTGAGGGCAGCAGAGTCTACTTGGTATGGCTTTAGTATAAATTACAGTTGCAGTGAAAACCTTGACTTAAAATTCTTTACTACTTAAGACTGCAGGTGACTTTGAGAAGGTGTGAGAGCATTGGTGTTCTTGCTTGTGGTGTTGTGAGAATATTAATTGTCATTCAGTCACTTACTTAACAGCTAGAGGTTAGTGCTCATCTAGCAAGTCCTTAAGCATTCAGGCCGAGTTTACAGAGTGCAAAGAGTTTGTAAGTGGCAAACTTGTTTTCTACTGTCACAGACTGTGGGAGGAGATTAAGAACTGCTGTTACCCTTGCAGGCACTGAGTGATGTCAAATGCCTGACCACATGCAGTGGGATACAAGGAGCCCAGTCAGTAACTCAGGATCTAGTCTGATTGCCAGGCAGCATCTGCAGGAGTTCAGCCTGTCTAATGACTACTTTAGGTGTCTTCATCAAGTGTGAAAGAAGTGGCAGTTAAAGAGTGGGGGACTTTTTTGGTCCACCCCCTCCTTTCCCTATCTGGGAATGTGTAGTTTCCATACCTCCATCATTATTTGAAAGGCAGTGAGTAGGTTGTCATTAGATGTAAACAGAATGCTAAAATATTGCTCTTATTTTTGTAGCAAGTCACTTGCTTTGTCCTCAGTATGTTCAGGCATCCATGATGAGACTGGGCAAAGTCTAGTAAAGTGCAGGGCTTTAAATTGCGTTTATGTACGTCCTAATGCTGAGGACTTAAAATGCTTTTTAAATCTTTTAAATGGTGTATACCAGTTATAAAGTAAAATGGGAATATATTGTCCCTTGTCAGCAGCTTTTAAATTTGGAATGGTACTTAAGGCTAAGGTCTTGAATTGTAAGTACAATCTCAAACTTGTGGTGGAACCAAAGTGACTTCAGGAATTGTTCTCAACCAGTGAAACCTGAAGGCTGGTGGGAAGGTGAGAAACACTGAACATGAACTGTTTCTTACCTGAATTTTCTTTTTTAAAAGGACTAGTTTAGAACTCTAGGAGTATCTTTTTTATTAGTTGTGCACTGATTGATAAATATTGAAGATCTGAGGTGAATCAAATTTATCTTGTTTTCGTGCTATCTGTATTGATGGCTGTTTTCATATTGGTTTAGGATTGGTGCTTTGCTGGGCTTTGATTTCAGCCATCTTAAATCATCAGTTTTATAGCATCATTCAGGTTGGAAAAGACCTCTAAGATCAAGTCCAACCATTAACCCAGCACTGCCAAGTCCAACACTAAACCATGTCCCCAGGTGCCACATCCATGGGCCTTCTGAACACTTCCAGGGATGGTGATTCCACCACTTCCCCAGGCAGCCTATTCCAATGCTTGAACACCCTTTTGGTCAAGAAAATTTTCCAAATATCCAATCTAAACCTCCCCTTCTTCCTGTCTTACCGCTTGTTACCTGGGATAAGAGTCTGACCATCATCTGGCTACAACCTCCTTTCAGGTAGTTGTAGATTGCGATAAGGTCACCCTGACTCTCCTTTTCTCCAGACCAAACAACCTTAACTCTCAGGTGCTTCTCCTAAGATTTGTGCTCCCGACCCTTCCTCAGCTTCCTTGCCCTTCTCTGGACATGGTCCTTCAGACTGGAAGGATTATGTGGAAACTCATTTTACAACCTTACCATTTACATGTAGCATTTCTGTAGTTCACTGTGGTGTGTTTTCAGATTGTCCTCTTCTGTTTCCATGTATTACTGATAAATATCACTGCCATTTTCTTCACGATATTCCTCCTGTCTTAAAGATTTCTTTTGTTAATGCTTGATCTATTAAACATTAGTGTTTTTTGGGAACTCAAGAATAACTCAACATTCTCTTCCTGCACACTGAAAACACAGATCTGAGTTGCTTATGCGTTATTTTTACTTTCCAGCTGTTCACTGATGGAATCACCAATAAATTAATTGGCTGCTACGTTGGTGACATAACAGATGATGTCGTTCTAGTTCGGATCTATGGAAATAAGACCGAGCTCTTGGTGGATCGAGATGAGGAAGTGAAGAGTTTCCGTGTGTTGCAGGCCCACGGCTGTGCACCCCAACTCTACTGTACTTTCAACAACGGCCTGTGCTACGAGTTCATGCAGGGAGAAGCACTGGATCCAGAGCATGTGTGCAATCCAGATATTTTCAGGTAAGCTTTTAAAAATTATTATTATTTTTTAAATTTCAGAATTTCATTATGCATTTATGGAGTTCTGTCAGGCCTAAAGAATCTCAAGCACAGTTTATGAGCAGGCAAAAAAATAAATATTTCTATAAGCCTGCCTTAAGTCGATGTTTACACTCTTGACAGCTCACTCTGCTCTTAGTTAATAGTATTTCAGTGCTGAACAAGAGATCCTTGCTGCCTCCACAGAACACTGTGTACTCATTAGAGAGATGTTTATTGTGAGTATTTAAAATGTTCATTGCCATTAGAGAGGTCATTTAACATGGTGGAGTTTTAAGGAGTTGGACTTTAAGGCAAGTACTTTCAGCTCTGTTTCCAATACATTCCTTTTGTGAATAGATCCAGGAGTCTTCCATTGGGACATAAGTTTTTAAATGATTAGCAGCGAAACTTTTTAAACAATTAACAAAGAAAGTGCCAGGGTCCTTAAGATTTTAATTTTTCATGTGTGCATTGAAATGTATTTGCCTAACAAGGGCAGCTAATTTGAATCAATTCTTCTAAAGATAAGTAAGAGTATATTGTAAATACAGGAGAAGTATGTGTGCTGTAATGGAACTCCAGTCCTTCCCCTCCCACAGGTAGTGTTGCTAATGACCTTTTGAGTCTTGAAAGATGCTCCCCTATGACTGTGTTGCTCTTATTTATATCCTCTTTGAATTCCTGTGCTGCTTTTTAAAGAATTTTTCAATTAAATATATTGTTGTTGTATTGCTAGGAAAAATATGATAGTCTGTCAGGTATACATTGACTATAACATTAATTTAACTTCTGTTTTTCAGACTCATTGCTAGACAGCTTGCTAAAATCCATACTATTCATGCACACAATGGGTGGATCCCTAAATCTAATCTATGGCTGAAGATGGGGAAATACTTCTCTCTCATACCCACAGAATTTGCAGATGAGGAAGTAAATAAAAGGTGGGTATTTCCTTATGTTCTTTCCTGGCTTTTCAATCCTTCTGGTTAAGGGGTAGATGAATATTTAAGAAAAAGGCTTAACTTTATAAAATCCTGTGTTTTGTTATAGTCTTGTATATTCAAGTAACTGTATATATGTAAATATGGTAGAGGTTTTTAACTAATTTGGTACATTGTGTAGATATACATATAACTCTTAATCTGATTGGATACTTGAATAGTGGTAGCTTCCTTTGCTGTTTTTAAAGAACCAAGGTCAACTCACCTACTTCTTCAGGTAGTTTTTCTCAACAGGTAGTTTTTAAGAGAACCATCTGTCTCAAACTGAGACCTGTGTTCTGGAATGAATACTAAAACCCTGTTTCTTGGGTTTGCAGGAATACTACTGCTTGTCCATTGTGACCTGCACCTCTTATCTGTTTTGCATGTGTTCAGCTTATAAGTCTGTTCCAAAACTGGGTAACATAATAGTAAAGTTAGTTAAGTTTAGTTTGGGTGACAGGGTGATCTCCCAAAGTGTTTTCCGGTGGAGGAAAAGGTATCCACAAGTCACTCTAGATCTTTACTATCATGGACTATGAATAGTTGTGTAACTTGGGTCTAAGGGTTTAATTATGTTTTGGTTTTAGCATCTCAATGTAGTTGTTGAGTTGTAAATCAAACTGTGGGTGTGAGGAGCTTAACAAAAAGTGAAAATGTTTCCAGAGGATTCCACTGTCAGTAACTTGGAGACTGGGATGAAAGGAATGGCAAATTAGGAGCAGTGTTTAACCTAAATAAAATTTCTCCCTGTAATCTAAAGCTTGGGCTGAAGACAATGTTTCTCAGAGAGTGGAGATCCAACTTTTAAACTAAAACTAATTAGAAAGTGTTTGCACACTGTCAAACTTCATATCACTCAGGAAGCAGATTCCAGTTTAAAAACATTCATGTAACTTTGAAATCACTGATACCAGCTGCCCCTCTTGCTGCACTGTAATTAAAGAATGCTTTAGCAAAGTTGCTTCTCTTTTACAACATACATTTCTTAAGAAAACTGAGAAAACAGTTATCTAAAAGATAAAATGATAAAAGATATTTAAGCATATTTACTGAAACTAGACTAAAAATTAATGTTAATTTTCTCTGTATAGATATGTAGTACCTAGTACTTACTGTTGTATATTCCTCTTGGAGGAAGTAATGTAATGTAAGCAGAAAGTGAATTAAATTCCTGCGATAACACATTTAATCTTTGCTCCTTTAAAATTTACAGGACTGTATTCAAGTTCTGTTCCTGATTTTTGGACTGCTGTCATGTTTACAGCATAGATAATCTCCATAGAATTATTTTCTGGGGAGGACAGAGGGAAATAATGGTCAAAATTTGACTGCTAAGACAATGGGTCCATTGCACTGTCTGCAAGAAGAATGTAGAGGAAAATATTTCATTACAATTGCTTGGTATGGAACACACAGTACTAAGTGTTAACTCTCAATCTTCTTATACATGAAAAGGTTTTTAAGTGACATTCCAAGTCCTCAAGTTCTTCAGGAAGAGATGGCCTGGATGAAGGAAAGACTGTCAAATTTAGGATCACCAGTGGTGCTCTGTCACAATGACCTGTTGTGTAAGAATATTATTTACAACAAGAAACGAGGTAGGACTTGAACTGAACAATGAGTTGGCTTTGTTTGTGCTGTAATTGCATGTGTTGCATCAGTGGTGTTGCTTTACTGACTTGTTGAGGTGAACTCAATTTGAGCTTTTAAAACCCAGTGCAATGGTAGTGATACCTGTGCAAAGACTTAAGTTGCTTAATTAGTCTAATTCTGATCTGTATATTACTGTGCAGAGGAAGAAAGTCAGCTGTTTTTTTGCTTTTATTTAACGAACTAATGAATTTGTTAATCCCCACCTTGTCTGTATGACTAGGCTTCAAAATATGTAACTATTGATTTTAATTCTATTCTGGTTGTATAAGGCTTTTTGGAAGAAAAGAAAATCATGCAAGTATAGAAAACCTGAAGACTGTCTCCTGTAATATATGTTTTGTTCTGGTTTGTGATTGTGGGCATACCCTTTCATACTGAATTATATTAGTGATATTTAATATTACATTCAGTAGCTCAATTTATTTTCTGCAGTAGGTACATAGATACCTTTAAAAATTTCTCTTATCAGTACATACTTTATTTAAACAGTTGTAGGCAGTACACGTCTTAGCAAAGATGAATTACTTTTTTGTTTCTCCTGTAATACATTTAACTCATAATTCATGTTATTAAAATGTATAAAGCTTCTGTTTAAACCCACAGTTTATTGATTTTAGTGGTTTGAGGTTCAGTTACTAAGTGAATCAATTAGATATTAAAACAAACAAGGCAAACTTGTGGCACTGAAATGGCCATTGTGCAGTAGAAATGCACAATTTCCCTCCCATTTCAAGTAGCTGAGCTTGACTGAGTGCAACAAATTAATCAGATTATAAGTTTTCTTTTGAAGTGAGGGTGACATTCCTTCTAGTAGGTGTGTATGTGTTTGTGCCAGTTGGGTAAGATTGTTGGTATGTAAGCCCAAAGTGTCGAGGTAAATAACTGAAAGGAACTGAAACCTTCTCCATCAGTTATTATTGGTCTTTGGCCTATTAAACTTATATGCCTTAATTTCTAAAGAAAAACTAATAAAATCAAGCTGGAGTTGGTTCTAGTATGAAAAGCGGCCAAGCATTTTTAACACATTTTTGCATCATATATGCACTGGATGTATGTGAATTGAGGAAATGAACTCCTCAGGTGATTTGTATACAAGTTTCCCTCTGAGTAATGCCACTTTTGAGGGGAGTTGCTAGTACTTTTAGTTATATTGCTATGTACATATATATACCTTTACAATGCTATTAACATAAATTTTAAATTCTAAGAATTCAGTACCAAGCTTCAATGATTTTACTTAGTTTCAATGGGTTATAACTCTGCTTAAAAAGAGGGGAGGGAAAAGCATAGGAGGTGTACAAAAAAATTGACTTGTGATCTTATATTGTTGTGATACTGTAGTACTGAAAATAAATCTATTTTTACCGTGTGATTTATTTTATTTCTGAAACTACCTTGAGTTTTAGCATTCCAGAACAGACCTGTCGAGGTAAAAGTAATTTTTATAGTTGCTTTTTGTAGCAGCACCACACAACAAAAAAGACAAAAATCTGAGGAATTCCTTTAAAAGGTTCACTATCGTGGTCGATAGACTTTAAGTTCCTAATTGAAAAACAAATGCTATATGCTTTTCTTTTTGTAAACAGAATGGAGGAAAAAACAATGCCAGGAGTGCATCACTTGTGAGCAATCCTACAGTAACAAGTGTGTGAGTGTTTAGAGTTTGGGGACAGGGTGGGGAGGAGGGAGGCATGTAAAGTACTTTGGCTTCAAGCAAGCTGTAAACAACTGTGGGGGGAAGACTTGGAAATATGAAATAAATACATTATTAATTGAATGTTGCACATGCACTGTTATAAAACTTGTGCAATCTGGATACAGCAGGTACCATTTTCATAGCAACCAAACCTCAGTGCTATCTGTTGAAAGAACGTTTGTCATTTGAAAGCTGTCTCATATAGTTCACTTTTTACAGAGCAGAAAGTGGAAGCTGAGTTTTAACTGCAAAGAAATATGTATATGTATTGCTTGAATTCTGTTCAGCAGAGCAAAACCTTTTATTGGTATCTAAATAATTTTGCAAGAGCACAAAAGAGTATCATTAAAGGTGTGTTTCACTATAAATGGCATCAAACTGTATGAAAGTAATTAACAGCTTTGTTGATGCTGTACTCTGACTAAATTTACTCTTCCATCTAGAAAGGCTTCTGTGAATCCAAAAGAGCTTAGTGACCCTAAGCTGGAAATGAGAGAGAACTGAACTTCTCTATTAACTACTTTTTTTTTTCTGTACTCCTCAGTAAAATTTATGCAAAGCTGGTAGCATTGTCTGGCTTTTCAGAAGCTGGCATGAACAAAAACTATTTGTTTTAGCAACACTGCATTTATAGTTTTGTTTCTAAATGCCTAATTTGCCCATTTACTAGGCATGGGGGATGTGTTTAAGCTACAGACTATCAACAGATACTAGGACTCATGTCTAATGCAGCTACAAAGAATACGGCTTGTCCCAGGGCTCTGTTTTAGGCTTGTCCTCTGCATTAAATTCACGTTAAGTTTTCTGACTTGAAAGAAAAATCAGTCGTGCCACATACTGCTTTTAAGAGGAATCAGTCTCCTGTCCTTACACTTTATTTATGAGACTGGCATTGCATGTTGAGTGCTAACTTCATTTAATAGAGTTTCACTCATCTGATTTGAATTTGTTCCTGCTGTGGCTGAGAGAATCCTGCCTCTTGCTGTTTTGTTAATGTCCGTTCTCAGTCACTCAGGATATGAAAATCCGCAAGTGTTACTTTACATAACTTATAATTATCAGTCATCTACTCTTTGAAGGATATAGCTCAGAGCTTCACGTTGCTTTTAATTATAGTTTTGACATCAAGAATACTAAAAATATGCTTGACGCTTGGTAGGGCTTAGTTATAGACCTTGTGTTCTGATGCTACTAAATGTTTAAAAATTTTTAATTTTTTTTTTAATGTGACTTGGGAGTTTCCAAAAATACCTGGTGTTTTAAGAGTATTCAAATACTTGCTATTCAACACAATCAAGTATCAGAATTCTTTTGTCTGTATCTATATGTGCTCTTTTTGAATATATGAAAATCACCTGGCAGGAAGTTAAGTGTGTAAGGTAGATGGCTGGTTTTGTTCTGTTTATTCCCCTTGTCTACCCAATGTTTTCTATGATCTTTGGTAGGAGTCTGTGGGTGCTCAGTGCTTCTGAAGACTGAGGTATGTTTAAGGCTTCTGGTTTTGATCTAAAAACCTGTTTTGTTTTGCAGAGCTCTACTGGGTATTTATAGCTAAAATTATTCTTTTGGGTATATGACCCGTTTGCGAATTGTCAAGTATGCTCGTAGCACAGACCATTGTTTTTGAAGCTGTCTTTTAGGGGCTCTGGCTCACCTGATGAGCAGGATGGGATGGAACTGAGGATACACCATTCAGCTGTGGTAACTACAGCCAGGATTTGCACATTGGAAGTGCTTACCCTTATTAGACAATTAAAAGGGAAGAGCAACTAGAAAGAGAGGTGTCATCATGCTCCTACCTGTCAGTACCTTGATTACTGTTGATTAGTACTTGTTCTATTTAAAATTTTATTTCTGGCATATGTAACAAAACACATATTATTCTATTTTGTATCTTTCTGTGGCTTTTTTAGAGTACATTGCATGTTGTCTGCACTAGGAGATCCCTGGAAGAGAGGAACGTGTTTCAGCTTGCAATATTCAACACTCTTGATGTGTCTATTCCTGTTGATAACAGTAGCTTCTCCAGAGAGATGGTAGAGCTTATTTTTAAATCATGTCTAAGAGTAGTGACTCTTGTTGGTCTGCCTGCTCCCAGGGATATCAATGGGATGCACAAATTCTTGGTACTTATTAGAAACCTCAGAATAAAAGCTACCTGCTAAACCACTAAAGTAAGCTGTATCTTTGAGAAGTGGCTTTCTCATATGAGCTGCAGTAACTCTTAAAAGTAACTTCTAGTATTATGGTTATTTAAACAATTAATGAGAACTTTCTTCTGTTTCTTTTAAAACAAGGTAGCTGGTATGTTTTATGCATTGTGCATTTATCAAGCAGCAAACTTAAAAGTTTTTGCTTTCTTTCAGTTTGACAGAAGGAACTGTGCATCTTTATTTTGAGCCTTCCTGCAAAAATTAACTTTTTAAAGTTGAGTTCCACAGTAGCGTGAGTTTGAAAGGGATCAGTATAAATACAAGACTTTTTCACTTTAAGCTTTTGTCTTATCAGATGTGAGTGTGCCAAATTTTCTTCATCTGTTTCAGACTGGGTATGCCATTGTTGCTGCCTTATGGTGCCGGGCACTGTGCTAAGTTGCACTGACTGAAAGCTTTATCTCATTGTTCACATTCACTTCCTCATAGGACAGGTGCCTAGTAACAGCTTCAGCTTTATCTTGCTAGATTCAATTTCTGGTTGTATGATATGTTCTTTTATATCTGGAAGTGAGTTTTTCAAATGTTAGCTTTAAGTAACCATGGATTTAATTAAAAATCCGTGGTAGCACGTAGGTATGTTGTAGGTATAATCTGCACGTGAAAAATTTAAAGTATTTATATCTGTATTTTACGAGCAGACTTTTACCTGCTGTGTTTGGATTTTATGTCAGGAAGGCGGTAAGAAACCTCTATAAATACAGACAATATTAAGTGTTTGGGGGGTTCAGGAGATCAGTTGTGTAGCAGAATATTAACCAGGGTTGGGCTGTGTATTTTGTTTGGCTTATAACTTAAAGGTGTGTCTTTTGAAAAGTAGCAATAAAGAACCAGTGGGAAGAGCAAATGTATGAATTTGCCAGTCAGGCAGTGGCAGAAGTTCATTTGTGGCAGTATTATAAGATCTTGGCTGCAGCTGCTGTAAAATTTGTCCCTTCAAAGTCCTACAGAACTTCAATTTTCCATTACCAACAGAGTTTCCTGGAAGGAGCTTGTTGCTTTGCAGGCCTGTTGGTTTGTTAGAGCCCAAAAGATTTAACCTCATAACCTTGGTAAGCAGTCCTCTTTTTCAGTGGAAGGAAGGGTAAACTCTGACTTGGAGGATTGTGCATATGTGATTTTTATTTATGTTGTGGAGTTTAATTTCCATTATAAGTGCTTAGACATGAAGCTTTTTCCACCTGGAAAACATTAATGTGTTAGTATTTCAAATACAGTAAAGATGAACTGCATATGAAGGAACATTTTTAATAAAGTTCTTCTGTGCTAATTTGGTAAAGATATTGGTGAAACTATTGTGTTTGAGATATATGATATACCTAAATCTTAAGGAGGCAGTATTCTAGGCTCTTAAAATCCTTAGTCTAGAAAAAATGTGTATGTAATGTACTTAATTTTAACATTGTTCATGTTTTTTTTAACCTGGAGTTCTGACAGTGTCGGTATCTGTAAGATGTTTTAAGTCATGTTAAGAAGATTACTCTCTGTAATAGAAGGAGTGTTTTATTAATTAAATTTGCAGATAGTCAACAAAAGAATGGGTATAGAGAGGGAGAAGGGTGAAAATTACCTATTCAGCATAGCAGTGAGAAATGCAAGACTTTAGTTTTTAATGTTCTTGTGCAAAGTTCTTATATTTACCAGTTGCTTCCTCTTCTGATGTTTTTAGTAATTTTGCTGGTTTCCCTTAAAAATACAAGAGCTCTAGCTTTTTACCTATTCTATCTTGTTAATTTTTAGACTCTTTTATGTGCTGTAGAAATTAAGTGAAGCATTTTCCTGTGCTTCACTGCAGGTAAACATAATTTGGAAACATTTGGGGCTGTGTTTTGCTGCTTTGTCAGCCCTTGTTTCCATAATACTACATAGTTTGATAGTTGTGAGGACTTGAGGACTGTCTGACAGTTTCTTGAGGCCAGTTTAAGCCAGATAAAAAAAGGAACAGTTAAGAATAGTCTTGCTTTGTAAGTGTGGTTGGAGGAAGCAGGAAGTATCAATGTGTTAGAGGAAATATCAGCATTGTTGCAACGTGTTAGTACACTGTGGTTTCACTTTTGTGTGAGAATGAGCAAAACTGTTTGGTTTTTTTTTTTTTTTTTGGGCAGGGAAAAATTGATCTGGTATTTCTACATAAAATTTAAATAAATGATCTGCTACTCTACTGCTATTTTGAGGGTAAGGGGTGCCCTCATGTGGTAGAAGTTAATATTGAAATTCTCCTATTCAGATTTTAAACAAGGAGAATTGTAAGCTCTAATTATTCAAGAGCTTTCTGAAATTAATATTTAGGGGAATCTCATATTGTCAAAATCATAGCCTTACCCTGGAATGTCTGAGTGCACACAACTGGGCACAAGAAAGATGAGTGCATAGTTTGGTTTGGTTTTGTTTTTCCCAAAAATCTTCAAAGGACACCAAAGAATTAGGGCTGTGACTTGGCTTGATCTTAACTCTGATGTTGTTGCTGTTGTCTCTCACACAGGTGATGTGCAGTTCATAGACTATGAGTACTCTGGATACAACTACCTGGCTTATGACATTGGAAATCACTTCAATGAATTTGCAGGTAAGAATTGGATTTAAGAACTGGATTTCTGAGGTAAAGTTTGAATGGTTTTATGAATAAAAAAATCCCCAACTACCTCATTCTTGCACGTTCTCTTTGTCTGTTTATCTAAATGCATGTTTACAGCTGTCAGCTCACAGTATCAGAATATGCTGATGTCTCATTTTACAGGCCAGTTATGCCTTTCCTTTGCAGCTTTTCTAAGCCAGATATGGGAATGTCATGTCCTGTGTGCTGGTAGAATTAGATAAATACAGAACTCACAGCTTTCCCAGTGTCCTTCTGTGAAGTGACACAGCAGAGACTGTAATGAAATTCTGTGGATGTCACACCACAGATATATATTGAGAATACTCTGTGTGGTTCCACAGTGCCAAAAGACAGGATTGTCTGGTTTCTTATTGGTCTGAATGGGTGTGCTAAGTACTTGCCCTGTCCTAAAATGAGAAGTAAAGGTAAGACTGTGATAGGAAAAAGGTGGGATTTCAGCAATAAGATTTTTGTAGACACACTTTTTAACTAGTTCAAATTTTCTCAGTGAATACCCGTTCCATTTACTCCATAAGGGAGAAATAACCTCAAGTGTGTGCTGTGGTGTTTCAGAGTGTGGGGCAGTAGCTAATAATGATTAGTGCAGATGGAAAGCACGGTGTGGTGAAATTAGGAGCATTAATCTACCAGTTGTTTCACAATGTGAAGTTTAGGTAACTTAAAAAAATCAGGATGTGTAGTTGGTAATTTAAGTTGTAGAATTGGTAATTTAAATATTTGGAAAGCAAGTTAAATTCCTTTACGAATTATAATTGAGTGCATTTGATTTTTTTTTCTCTTGCACTTCTCAAAGTCTTACATTGGTAAGAAGATTAAATGCACAAATACATTTCTTTACCTATGAAGAACAGTTGTGCTTCACTTTTACCTGCCATCCAATAAAAATCTTAATTATGTTTTCAAGCTAAATTTCAGTAGATCTGACACACAAAAGAGTTTAGGTGCAAGGGGATTGCACTGTTTATAGTATAAGACTTCAGGAGAATTCCGAAATCCCTGGGAAGTAATAGTGGGATTGAGCTGCAATCCAGGTATGGGGCTCCTGCCAGACTCCTCCCTATGACCTGTGACTAAGCATCTCCAGTATAGGAAGAAAAATAGGATAAAAAGGGGTTATAGAGATAAGACTTTTAATTCCACCAAACACTGTGGAGGAGAGAGACAGACTTGTGGTAAATTTTCTTCAAACACGAGTTTACTTAGTGACAACTGGATATGGCTCTGGACTCAGCTTGGGATGTTGTTGCATACCAGTCCCTTTTCCTACCAAATATGTAGTATTTGATATATTTGAGGGCTTTTGTTTCATACTGCAAATACTTTTTCTTGAAGCTTCTCTCAAAACCCAAGTTGTTGAATCTCAGCATGCAAATTCTACGTGGCTGAAAACATAAATCAGATGTTGAATACTGATTTGTGTGTGGGAAATTCTTGACAACATGTGACTGATAAAGTCATGTAAAAGTAAAAATGCTGATTGTCCACAGCAATTTGTGCCTGTGTTTTGGGCTGGGAAGGGGGAAGTAGTCTAGTAATGGACTTTTAAACACAGAGAATTGTAAGCTCTAATTATTTAAGAGCTTTCTTGAATGAATATTTAGGGAATTCTCATACTGTAAAAATCACAGCCTTACCCTAGAATGTCTGAGAGCACACAGCTGGGCACAAGAAAGACAGGTACACAAGAAACAGTTGTAGGTACTTAAAACTTCTAATGGTCTTTTTAGACTACAGAAGGTTCTAATATATATTTTTTTCTTTTCTAGGAGTAAATGAGGTAGACTACAGCCTTTATCCTAACAGAAAACTACAGGAACAGTGGCTGAGATCTTACCTTGAGGCCTACAAAGAATACAAAGGATTCGGCACAGAAGTCAGTGAAAAAGAAGTTGAGGTCCTGTATGTCCAAGTCAATCAGTTTGCACTGGTAAGTAACAAACACTCGACTAGACACACAAATGTAATTTCCAAATGTAATGTGGACAAATGTAATTCCCAGTTTCTTAATCTGAGTGCTGTGGCACATAAAGGAAATCTTCTATAAGAAGTTTCCTTCTGCTTGCTGTTGTGTTGCATGTTTAAAAATTGTCTACTGAATATTCCCAATGAAAGAAGCACTGGGCATTCAGAAAAGGAGGAGGTGAACTTTTAATGAGTGTTTCTGTTGGCTGTTCATTGGTGTGGCAAGTTTGAGTTGGCCAGAGCTTATGGTGGGTCTGTATTGAACTTTTGTTTGTAGTGGTAAGAAGACAGAAGAGCAAGTTCATAAAGACAAAAACTTTAGAAGCCTTTTCAAAATAAGATGATAAAATTCTGTTAGAGTAAAACCAGGATATTTTGATTTTTATTTATTTATTCTGTTGCAGATAATTAGGCCACTCTAGAATCTTTCAGTACTGCCTTAACTTTCCTTACCAGAGTGTCTTGGCAAGAAGGGAGTTGCTTTCAGATTTGTTTTTTATCACCTTTAGTGGTTAAAATTGTAGCAAAGTGCACATGGAGTCAGTCATCTGGTTCCCCAGAAGCTCTAGAGAGAGGTCTGTGAGTCTGCTTCCTGCTCCTCCAGTATCTCTGTGCATTATAAGCTGCTTCCTCTCTGTCAGTCTGTCTGTTGCAGACTTTGGATATAACAGCTTCAGTCTCATGATCTTTCCCTTTGAAAGGATGGAGCCTGTTCAATTTTGACCTGACTTCTGATGCCTTGTCTGTCAGGGAAACAAAGCACATCAAATGTAATTTGCAGAGGTAGAATAAGTAAAGTCACATAGGTGTGGAATTAAATCTTTACATGTCATGATGATATATACTGTTAGAAGCAGTTGTCTTTCTCTTTTTCTAAGCTTTTTCTTTGTGTGATTTCTGAACAGATACTTAAGAGGTTCACATTGGTTTTGTTTTTCAACTAGCCCCGATCTTGTTTTGCCTAGACGATGTGATTGGAAATGTTACAACAAAAGTTGCCTCTATATTTTATTTTCTCCTCAAGACTAACGTGGCAAACTATTTGTAGGAGGGTTAAGTCTAAAGAAGCCACTCTAGCCTTAATTTAGTCCTCTTTCCTACTGATCCAAGCACACCTCTGTTATTGTAATACTCTGTTTCCTGGTAAAAGCTAATGGTTGCAGTGAGGAAAAACAGTTCTCAAGAAGATGATTATTAAACAAGTCTTTGAAAATAGCAGCTTGTTTGGTGCTATTCTTTTAAAAATGTCAGCTGTTACTGTTAAACTCAGCTGTCCCATTCATTTGGGGAAGTTAGAGCTGCAATTAGGTAGGCTGGTGGTCTGTTTTAAAATATATAGCATTGTTTTGTCAGTTTTAAAGGATGGTCACAGTAATGTTTAAGAGGATAGAGTTGTGTTTAGAGAACAGCTCAAGGCTTGCCTGTAGACCACACATGATGCTCAAATACTGTGTGACACTTGTGTCAGTTCATGTGGGAAGCTTTGTCATGAGAAAATATGACCTAAAGTTAATGGATGCTGATGTACAACGCTGAACTTCTACTCTCTGGCAAAGTTATCTAAACTAGAGGTACAAGATTCCCGTGGACATATATTAGTTACCATGTTAAGATGTTTTTGGGTGCATGTGCATTTTTGTACCTTCTAAACTCCTGGTCAAGTGTTAACATGCAATCTTTGGGAAGCCTTTTAGGTAATTATTGTGAGCAGTTATTCACTGAAGTTTGAAGTCTGTAATTTGTTACCTGGGTGGTCCAGAGATGTCTTCCACAAGGAGACTGTCATGACCATTGCATGTTGATTTGAGGTATATTAACGATCAAATCATTAGTGGTTTTGGTCTGGAAGTGAACATGGAAGTAAGTTTGGAACGAATGAGAAGCTTGTGTAAAGGCTGATGAGTTAAAGGTTTTCTTATAGCACTGCACATCATCTTTGTCTAAGTCAGCAGTGAAAGTGTGTGTAGTTATAGAGGTCTAAGGGTGTAGTCAAAGACTTGAAAGGAATTTTATATTTGTACTAGATTTGAATACGTGTGAAATATATATTTAATTAGCAGAAGTAGATAATTGAATTTCTATGCATTTTTAAAGGATGGTTTATATGTTTGTACAACAATCTGCTTCATAGGTGACCTATTTTATAAATGCAACATTATTTTTCTTGAAAATGACACATGGAGAGTTAGGAGTCCAATAGGTTTACTCCTCTGATTGCCAGTAATTTATTCTATAATACTGCTTACCAGTCTGTCTGGTAAAGAGGTATCAAATAACTTTACAAAAAGCTTGTGTTTTGAGTGCTCTTTTGTAGATAACTTTTTGTCTCAGTGTGAGACTACGTCTGCAAGCTAGATTGGAAATGAGGTTAATTTTTCACTGATAAATTTTCTTTCAGGCTTCCCACTTCTTTTGGGGATTGTGGGCTCTAATTCAAGCCAAGTATTCCACCATTGACTTCGATTTTCTAGGGTAAGTGTGCTTGCTGTGTACAAACATGGAATGCTGGGGACTGGAAGGAACCTAGGGGACCATTCTTCTCCAACACCCCAGCTATCACAAACTGAGACCTGAGAGACAGACCTGATCTGTGTGGTCATACAATAACATCTTTCAGAGAAAACAAGATAGTAAAAGCTGTCTGTGCTTTTTGTTGCTGAAAGTTCTCTAAGTAGTATGTGCCCCTGGGTTAAAACTCATGGTATAAGAAGGCAAGGAACATAATATTTTGGGGCATTGAGTGCTTTTTTTTTAATGAAGAGATAGAGGCTTAAAAGCCAAGTTGGTCAGTGATTTGTGCTGTCTGTCAGATCTGAGACCTTCATTTTCAACTGCAAGAGTCAAAGAAATGGGATTCTTGTAGTAAACTAGCTCTTTGTACTGTTCACATGGAGTGTTGATCCTGGAAACCCCTACTGTTTTTACAGAGTCTTTCTAACACTGGTGAATGTTAAGCCCTGTTTCCTGAGGTACTGACTAGGGTGGTTGTGTTTCAGGTGGATAGGTGTGTCTTTGGCATTTTTTACATGATCTTTTATGGCAACAAGCAGAGCAACTCATATTTCCAGTGGGGCCTGGGTGAGGTGATAAAAGTAATAATTTTTCCTGGTAAAAGATCCCACTTTGGAGTGTTTTGCGCTGCCTAAGCCAGTTTGCTGGGCTTGGTTGTGTCATTTTGTCAGTGAGTCCACTCTGGCTTCCTGTGATTGATTATCTAGTGCAGCAGTACCTGCGCGTCACCACGAGATGGCGCGACAAGCTAAGAGAAAACAAGGGCCATAGAACCCCGAAACTTGTCAGCTTTGAATAAAATGCCGTTCTTGTAATAATCAGGATCAGATTTCTGCGGGAATGTAGTTGGGCAGTCCATTAAGAACTATTAAAACCACAACCACTACGTTTCGATAATCCCAGAACAGCACCTGTTTTGCAAGCTGGGAGTGGGGTGAGGAAGTACCAGAACATCCATGCTCTGTTCTGAATTTCTTCTTTTGGCAGTTGCTAATGGTCAGTGTTGGAAACAGGCTCCTGGGATTGGTGGTCTTTTTACTAGCCCTACTTAGCATGGCTGTTTCCATGTGAGTAATTACCTGCTCTTCACTTAGACTCTCTCTCTCCCTTTCAATAGGTATGCAATTGTTCGGTTTAACCAGTATTTCAAAATGAAACAGGAGGTCATGACGTTAACTCTTCCCGAGTAACAAAGAGGAGGACACTTGCCAAGTGGATGGACAACCCCTGGATCTTTTCTGAGAACAGATACTGGAAAAAAGCTAAACATTTGTTGAAGTGCTGTAATGCTCACTTGGTGGTTCTTGCTTTATAAATAATGCCTCTAAACAGTCCTTCAATGTTAAATTTAATATGAAGAGCATACGTACTGCTGTTGATATAAAACAGATTAGAAACTTGCTAAATCTATAAAAAGTTGTAGAAGTGGCAATTTAATCCTTCTTTGTAATTTAACATATGTTGTATGTGAATTATTTATTATAAGTTTAACATGATTCCATTGCTGCTTTCATCAGTTTTTGTTAAAGTTGGGTGCAGACAGTGAAGTTGTTCCAAAGGATTCATTTAAACAACTTATTTTATTGAAGTTGCATTAACTTATGCTAAAGAAGACATGTCAGAGAATATTACTCTTTTAAGATGTGTATGAGCAAAACGAGTGACAACAGACTTGTGAGATCTCCAGTGTAACTAGGGAGAAGGGTTAAGATTGTTTTTTTTTTTTTTTTTTTTTTAAGAAAACGGTAGCTTTCCGTATGATGGTACAGTTGTGTTTTTTTTTTTTTTTTGGCACAAGAATCAACCAGCTTGCTGAAATAATTAATGTTTTGTTTTGTTTTTTTCTTCTTGATGTGTTAAGCTGCAGAAATGTGAAAGTTCTGTGGCCACCAGGTTCTCTGAGGGCATGTACCATCTGTAACTTCTGTGCGAAAGCTGCTTGTTTATTAAGTGTACTCTTGAAAGCAAAAGACCACTATTTCAAATCTATATTCCTTTTAGAAACTTGATTCTAAATTTGAACACTATTCTGGTGTCTGTATTTCATGTGCTTCAGTAGGATCTAGTGGAACAGATGTTGAACTGGAGACAAATGAGCAGAGATCCTGTTGCACTGGGGAGCAAGACACAGGTTTACAGTTCATGTGTTGTTGACATCTTTCTGCTTTGTCATCTTCTAACCTTGGATTCTAAGTCTTAAATGCCTGGTCCTGTAGCTGTGCAGATTCTGGTGTGTCTGGTGTTGTTTTTTTTTTTTTTTTTCCTGTCAGCAAATTGCTTTTCAAAGTCTCCAGTTTGAAGGACAGTACAGGAAAGTGTATGAATTGAGCAACTGGACTTTGATCATCACACATACTTTCTTATTTCTTAAAGCTATTATACCAAGAATGGTCTGGATTACAAAATGTGAATTGAAAAGACAATGTTTACTTAATGGAACAATGTATAAGTTTGTGTGGAAAAGAGGCTTTAACTCTGAAAGGGGGGTGGGGTGGGGGGAGGGGACACGAGAGGGGGGGGGAAAAACCCACAACAGAAAAAATCAAGCTCACCAATGCAGCGTGGAGCTGGGCAGGCACGTACTCTCTACTCTGATGATACTCTGAAAAACTTTGCACTTTGGTCACATAAGTGCCCACGTGTACAAAGTCTGTGCGTGTGCAAGTACACGTGCAAACACAAACTTACTTACCTGAGGAGTAAATATTATGGGGAGTCTGTTGTACAGACTCCAGCAAAGATATTTATTCAAAATTGCTTTATGGCACCCTGCTGTGTGTGTATGTGTGTATCACGTGTACACACGTATATACATACGTGCTTTACAAAAAGCTTGGATTGATTCAGGACAAAGAAAATTCATGTGAATGAAAAACTTTCACCTTTAAAGACCATTTTGAATGGCATTCTGTTCTTTTACAAAAGCGTGATTTAGGATTTTTTTTTCTCCTCCTGTTTATATTCATCTCTGAGTGTTTCTGTTTTGTTTTTTGGGGGGGTTTTTTGGTGTTTATTTTTTAAATATTTTCTTCAGTCAAAACCTTAAAAATTCTTATACAAATGGGAGAACTGGGATTTTTTTTGTAACTTGAAATGAGGTAACCATTTTCATTAGCTGGAGGCTACTATACTGGACAAACTTTCTTTGTAGTTGAAACAAGTAGCTAAAATAGACATTTATAATTTACTTTGTAGCAGTTATCAAGGATGTTGCTAGAGCTCATGAAGGCACTGAAGACCTTTAATCTTCTGTACTTTCTCCCTGTGGACATTATTGACATATGATGAATAATACCCTGCTGTCTTGTATTTCCTTTAAGTTCAGCAAGATATGCTTGGAAGTAAGACTGATCAAGATTTCTGAACTCTTTTATTACCGTTTCTTTCCAAGCAGTGGCTTTATTTCTGACAATGTCGCTTTGTATTTGTGAAATATTTGAAATAAGGCAGTGAAGTTCACTTGGTCTTGGGAAACCCAACACCTGACAGATCCTAAGTTTCCCAATGGCTTGCAAGACACATTCCCTTTTCAGGTACCAGTACTGCTTGCATTTGGAGTTAGTGTAGTTTTTGTCAGTAGTATTTCTGCTTGTGTAGCTCAAGTAGCAATAACTGTAGGAGTGGAAGTTTGCTTCTGCAGAACCAAAGCTTTTCCTGAGTGCAGCTCAGTCTCATCCTTGTGAAGTTCCACTGAATCCCATGAAAGCACTTTGAGGCAGGTAGTAAATACTCCCAACTTTTCCTGAGCCACTTAGAAGAAGCACAAGGACCGTCACAGGTTACAGTGGTGGACTTTGCAGTAATGGTAGAAGATTTAATTTTGCACGTTGAAATTTAATTTTACACACTTAAAATGCTGCTTTGCATCAGCTTTCCTTCAAGACAAGTGCAGATTAAACCAATTTGTGATCAGTTCTGAGGAAATACTGTAAAACATCTCCCAAAAGGAAATGCCAGTTACCTTGAGCCTTGTTGCACATCCATTTGAGCCAGTAGCACTTGGATATTCTCGCTTGCTGAGGAATATCTACAGGTGCATTAAGTTTGAAGCAGTAGTTTGCAATGGCATTGCAGGTAAGGTAGCTTGAAACTGTGAATACAGGACGTTCTGAATGTAAGTTAGGTACTAGAGAACATGTACTTGTTTCAATTAATTTATCTCAGTCTCTGGAATAGCAACATTAAGATATTTGAAGGAGGACGAAAAAAAATTGACTGAGCTCTAGAAACATCCTGTAGTAGTTTTGACTGTGACTTGCCAAGAAGATACTCTGTTGCCTTTATGTTAAGCTAAGGGCATGAATGCCAAAATTAATAATTCTTGCTGTAGTTAAGCCTATATTGTAAATATAAAGAGGATTATTAGTAACGGCATTCCTGCAGAAATAGCATCAAGTCAATAGACCGTAGTGGCCTGGTTGCTTTTGTAAAGCAGAATAGTGTGAATTTTTTTCTTCTCATTTCTGCAGTCAGATCTGGCTAATCCAGGCCTGATTTCATAGGTCACCCAAACACTAAAGATTCCTGAACGGTAACTAGTCTCCTGTCACATAATTTTAAATACCTTCATTTACACTTGTTGATTTGCATTTTAGAAGGACATACCAAATTTGCATTAACCAGGTCTGACTGTACGTGTATATACAACAGTGTAAATAACCATTTGTAAATTAGTGTGAATTGTACTGTATCTTGCATTTATGGACTTGTGTATTGCATTGTATTCTCTCCTATTTTGTAGAAATTTTGATGTAAAGAAGAAATCTAATTCTGTGTGCGGACTTCTTTTGTTAAATGGACCTGTAACACAACATAATAGTTTTATGTTAAGGTATCCATTTATAGCCTTGGGCATCCAGGGTCTTTTTTTCCCCTGTTAGCTTTTTTGACAACTTGCTCTTGGGACTCATTCTGGGAATAAAGGAATTTATACAGTACTTAGATTAAAAGAAATTCTGTTCTAATAATAGTGCAAACCATGCATCAGAGGTACATGTAGTCCTGTGGGATAGGGAAAGCTGTTAAAATTGTTTACTTAAACTTTCAAAAGTTTCCTATACGTTCTTGGATGCTGGTGACTTCAAAACATAAGTGTGTTGAATTGAAGCACTCCTAAAGTTTGTGCTCCCATGGGGACAGTGGTTGAGGTAGTTGTGATAGGAGTCCCCCAACTTAAATATTGACATTAAATATCCAACTTAAATAAGGATAGAGCCTTATTCTAGGGTTAGTTCCTAACTTGTAAATGCTTATACTGAGTGCCCAAATCACTAAAATAGTTCTACCAGTCAAGTTTCCTCAATGCTAGAACTATTGGTACTCTCTTTAGACTATCTGAAACTTAGCTGAGGTATTTTCCCTGAGTGCCACTCCCTCCCCCTACTCCCTGTGCTCACAACCCTGCTTGGTTAGGGTAAACACGAATATAAAACTTCCTTTCCATACTTAGCCACCACGATTTCCTTTTTGGACTAAATTTATATTCTGTTTTGTCAGTACATCACTTCTCATCAGAATTTTTTTGTATAGGAAGTCCCTTTCTGAAGAGGCCTTTAACCTTGGAAACATAGACAATGAAGCAGTGTTTTTTCCCTGACTATATTCCATCACTGTTGCCTTTCACTGTCTCTTTTGAACCCCATTGTGCCCTTCAAGCTGTTGGTTTATTCTTTTTCACTGGTGTTTAACTGCTGGAAAATGCTGTGCAAATCTCATACTCCATCTGACAAATTGATCTTGATACAGTTTGTACAACGTGTCAGCCTTACCTGTGCATATCAGTGGTGACACTTCAGATTACCAGGGTCCTGGGAAGGGAGTTTAATCCAAGAGGTACTAGTCAAGAGGAGGGTTGGGCTTGGTAAATGTAAGTAAAAGGAAATCATTTACATGGAAACTCAAGCTTCAGCTTTTGGTGTAGCAAGGTTTTGTTAATACTTGTTTACTTGCATGGTTTATAGGGACAAGAGCAAATTGTAAAGGGTAAAGTTTGCTTCAAAATAAAGTTCAGATTTTTTTAAAGCCTTAGATAGCTAACAAAAGCTTACAAAATACTGTTTTGTTACTCTTACCAAAAGAAATCTTAAATTTGGGTAACTTTTTGATTAAATAAAGCTTTGTTCTAAAACCCAGTGGACTATAATCTCTTGCTTGGAGCAGTCCTTCCTGTAGTTTGCAGGGGAGGTTGACCACATCTTTCCTTGTCTATGTTTGAGGTGTCTGTGTGTCCTTTGTGTTAATGTTTTGTGTTATTGACTGTGTTCTAAGGTGTGCTAGTTTGCTAAACTACTGGAATTTGGAACTATCTCTTATCGTCTTCCACACCAGATGGGTTGTAAGCACTGTATTAGAGCAGAAAGCATTTGATCAAACCTTGAGGTAAATGCAAGGGTGACATGGAGCAGTCTTGCAGCCGATTTTTTTACCCCCTTTTTATGACTGTGGGTGGCAAGATGATTGTTTTCAGTAGTTGTGAAAGTTAAGAGAAGCCACGACCTTTGGTCTTGTGCAAGTAGGTGTTCTGTCAGCCAAACACAATTTTTAAGGAAGGGCCTCTCAGCAGTGAGAAACCACACCATTCCAGGTGGCTTAAACCACTGCAGGGCTGAGAGACCTTGAGTGGGAAGGAAAATGTGTGAAATGCTTACACAGGCTAGTTGTATGAATGTGCTCCATCCGAGTGATGGAGTGAGATACTGGGAAAGGCATTGTTTGATCCTCCTCCTCCCCCTCC